TAATTGAAAGTATGCTGAGGTTTAAATTTCATTAATTTTCATACAGATTTATGCCTACGTATAATTTAGTATTTAAAAAAAATGATATAATTATATTTAAATATGTTCGCGCAATAATTCATGCATATGAATATATGTATAATGAAATAATCATTGAAAATATTTGATAATAATAGTGACCATGTTTCATGATATCCTAAACTTCTTTCGTGTGTTTGCGCGATCATTAAGGAACCCTAAAGACTCCAACGACAACAACCGATGGGCAATGTTCCGCAGTAAATTCGGAACGTGCGCGTGTCGCCTTGCGAAAATTAAAGACCATAAATCATGCATGCGTTTCGCATCGGCGACCCATGAATATTAATGAAAATCATTGCGTCGTTTACAGGCCTATTAATCCGGGGGTTAAAATATTCCGTCTTCGGTGGTGTTTTATCGGTCGCTGCTCCACGCGGCAGCTTCGTTCTCGGCCGGCACGACGACGAAACGGTCGAGGGGAACGTCGTTATTAGTCCTATCGATCATTCGACGCGAGGACCGACACCCTTTTTGGATCCCTTTACGTGCCGCGCGTAGCTTACCCGGTCGCGTTTAACACTGCGCTTTCTTACTTGCTTTCGTGATTCATTGCCAATCATTCATCGATCGAAAGATTGATGCTTATAATACGCGTCTAACATAATGCTAATTGACACGGAATAGATGTCAATCCCGTTGTTTCTCTATGAATACTAACAAATTACAATTGTAAAGAAAATGAATAATTATTATGATTTCTATAAAATTCGTGTAATTGCCATAAATTTAAACTTTTAATTTTTATTTAACAAAATTTGTCCAATAGTGAAAATAAAATATAAAACTCTCCATGAAATATCGAAAAATATGAACTTACAAACAATATTCTATTCGTGTTAATATAGTATAAAAATTGACTGCTTAATTCTTTTATTCCTGCAATAATAAACGGAAGTGTTCCGACCGCGACGAGAGACTGCAGAGATTTACGGTCGTCGATCATCGGGAATCACCAATATTTTGGCAACGCGAACCCGAGGGAAGCTAAGACCGCCCGCAAGAGACCCCTCGATTTCGAGATCGATCGATCTTTCCTGCTTGAAATACGCGGAACGCCTGACAAGGTTGGACGGCCGTAAACCGAGCGGCGTGATACTTTAATGGCCTGCGGGAAAATCTATCGAGAGCGCGATACAGGACGAATTTCGATGTACTACGCTGCATTTTAGCGTAATTCGCCGATTCCTGTGCAAACGCATATTTCGATATTCCGATCGGCCGACGGCTGACGCAAACCAGAATCGGACTATGGTCATCACGCGGCATACGCGCCGGTCTCAGGACTTATCCCTGGAACACCTCGGATTTCCTTGCGACTGAGCGCTTTATCCCCGAAGCTCGCGTGTGTCGGGAGAGGCAAGCGGTACCATGTAAATCCGTGAATACGTAGACGGGCGCACTTGCGTTAAACAATGGCTTTTGTTTCGCGAGAATTGCTGCGGGAAAAAGGCTGCAGCCGATACATTGAAAACCTTAGATTTTCCATGCAAGCTTATGGACCAGTTTTTATTTTCGAATTGGTGTATTTTTTTTTTTAAATTGTCGCCGATAAAATTTATATTAATTTCTAGAGATGGATATTATATTTATAGATTATATAAATATAGAATAACATTCTTGTTATATTTTGCCCTATATTAAAATATATGTACTGTACTACAATATGTACTGATTTATATGTCATAGCATAATGTTTAACAAAGAAATAACAAGTCAGTATTTAATAAGGAGTTTGTGAAATGAGACTCACCACCAGATGTAGAAGTGTATGAAGCTATTCCAGTGTAGTATTCCATATATGTATATTGTAGTATTCCATGTATTGTAATATTTCAATATATTCCAGAAGAAGTTGAGAAAAAACCTGAAAAAATACAAAAATATATCAAAATATTCTTGTGTAATAAGTCAATAATCAACTTTACTATTTCCTAAATAGATACAAAAATTTATTAATAATTTATTATTGCTTTTTCTGTTTTATTTACTATAAAAAAGAATTGCAAATTACAAATTTTTATAATAAAATAAGAAAATAATGAATAATAATCGAAAATAGAATAATATAGCAGAATACAAAAATGAATTTACTCACCAATGCATGTATCGCACCTGCCATTCTGTTTGTTATATATCCACTTTGATCACACTTTGTTTCACTTATTTACACACTAACTCGGTATTCGTTATTCGGACTAACTTACAGATTAACTTGGTATTTAACTCGGTGATTATAATGATCACCCGTTACTTTATACTTATTCGACACACCCGACACACCCGACACTCCCGACACTCCCGATATTCGCGACACTTTCGGCACACTTGATACTCCCGATACGTTACAAACTTTCAATTAACGAGATTCAAAAAACAATGTTAATATCGCGAATCATCTGACAGTCTTATTATTGATCGAGAATAAATTGCTAATTACTGTGTTCTGATAGACACCAACTCGATGCGGTACCACAATCATCGGCTGCATATATCGAAGGTATAGGGTTAAACTAGGTTATTTACGAATAGACGCGACGAGATGATTGAAGATAATTGTCAAAATAGACGCAGAATGATACGCGCCTATCTGCTACGCTGCCAGTTTCTTTCTAACTATCCATAAACACGCACGCGAGATTTACTTTTAACAAAGAAAACACGTGAAAAATATAGAGCAATCCCAATCAACAAGCAACAATAGACGCGACGAGAAATAATTGAAGATGGCCGTTAAAAATGCACGCTCAAATGATCGTGATTTGCGTCCAGCGTCTAGGGAAATAATTATATACTTGGCGCCATCTGACAACTCGGCAAACGTTACTAAGTGCGACATTGCGGATAACGGTTGCATATATTGAAAGATGAAATTAGAGATAGAGAAAGAGGAACAGAAAGAGAAAGAGAGAGAGAGAGAGAGAGAGAGAGAAGAAGGAGAAGAAAAAAGAATAGATTATTCACGACTAGATGTA